CATTATGAATGTGCCTAGTACCGAGAGCTGTAAAAGATTTTTCAGCAAATATGAAATCTTAACACTTCCATCGTTATATATTTTTGAATGATGTCTCTATATTTTTGAAACATGTGGACATATAATTTTAAACCTTGTAAATACTTCTCTTCAAACCTCTAAAATTCCAAATCTTTTAAAAGTAAGTACTATAGTTCCCGTTCAAAAGGTAAACAATACAATCAAGGCCAGTGAATATAGACCAATAAATACATTAACACCAATAGAAAAAATTCTTGAAATAGCTGTTTATAAGCAAGTACTTGATCATGTTGAAAAAAATTAAATTTCAATAAATAATCGACCTGGATTTCGTAAAAAGTATTCATGTGAATCCGCACTTTATCTAAGTTCAAAGAAGTAGTTGATAACAATAAATTTGTAGTAGCTGTTTTCCTTGATCTGAAGAGGGCGTTTGAAACAATTGATTGTAATATTCTTCTAATAAAATTAAGAGGTTATGGCATTGATGGTGATGTTTACCAATGGTTATTTGTCTATTTATCCCATAGAAAGCAAAAAGTCAGAGTTCAAGATAATATCTCACAGGAATTGGATATACATATAGGTGTGCCTCAGGGTAGCGTTTTAGGACCTCTGATTTTCATCTTATACTAAAATGACATGAACTTGTTTATAAATGTTGATTTTATAAATTTATTTGCAGATAATACACTATTGGCATGATATGATACTAACTTGGATAAAGCTATTGATAAAATGAATGCCGCATTAAAGGATGTAAATGAGTACCTCATGGCTTTCACTCATGGCCTCATTCACTTTCACAATAGAGAAGGAAGTCCACAACGAATTGCCATTCTTAGACTTATTGGTGAAGAGGACCGACATCAAATGGGAAACATCTGTATATCGAAAACCCACTCACACAGGACAATATCTGAATCAGAAATCAAATCACCATCAATCGACTAAGAGAGGAATTATCAAGACTCTACTAGACCGTGCTTTCGGGCTCTGTGATAAAAAGGAAGGCCTGGAAAGGAACTATGCATCATCAAAAATGACCTTCAATGGAATGGTTACTCCAGAGTGATGTTAGAACAGGCTTTAGCTAGAAGACAGCAAGAGCTCCAGAAGGAAGAGAAGCCGCTACAACCAGTACTTGTACCTCCACACATCAGAGGATTATCGGAAAGAATAAGAAAGATTGGGTCCAAGAATAACATCAGGACCTGCTTCAGATGTGGGAACACTATCCGTAGCAGCCTCACAAAAATCAGGCAACCAAACGCGTACTGCGATTCCAAGAATTGCATTTACCGGATACCCTGCGAGTGCGGAGAATCATAGATAGGTGAAACTAACAGGCCATTGAAAGTTCGCATTGCCGAGCACAAGACACACACACAGCGAGGAGAAACCAGCAAATCCGGAATAGCAGAGCATGTTTGGACTCATCAACATAACATCAAGTGGGCTCAAGCTGAAATCATCCACAAAGAGGAACACTGGTTTAGGAGAAAATTCAAAGAAGCCGCGTATATGTTGTCCAACAACGCATTCAGTCAAGCTAGCGTAGAGATACATACCATATGGAAATCTCTAATCAAGCGAAAAACGACTTCAGCTAAACGGTCATATCCTCCTAAAACCACTGAAGCGTGAGAGGGAAGAGGGGATAGGTGAAAGCACCCAAATGACCTCGGAGGAATGACTCCACTTATCACCCGAAGATGATTGTGGATACTAACAATCGAAACATCGTGAAGTAACTTGGTTTGGAATTTTTCAATTTTCATTTTTCATTTCTTGGTAATAATATATTTTAATTTTTTAATTTTCAGCTTTCATTAATATTTGAATTTTTATTTTTTTGGTTGTTGCTTGTCTGTTAATTCTTTGTAATTTCAGTTTGTTGTTCAATAAAATTGTTATTTTCGGTTAATCTTTTTAATTTTTTTCAGGGATTTCAAATCAATTTATATCATATTAGTCAGGGGAAGTCCGAACTGATGAAATTTATTAACACGCTTATATTATCTTCACTTGTATGTTTGTTTGTAACCGACTTCTTTGGACTCGATTTTGATTAACTTTGAACGGACCGTTTAAAGTTAATCACTTATCCCCTCTTTCCTTTGCGAGAGCTGAAGGGAAGGCGGTAGTTGGCCGTGTTCCGTTTGAATGAAAGTTTCTATATGTTACGTATCTCTAAGATAGCTTGGCAAAATGCGTTGTTGGACAACATATATGCAACTTTTTTGAATTTTCTCCTAAACCAGTGTTTCTCCTTGTGGATGATTTCAGCTTCAGCCCACTTGGTGTTTTGTTGATGAGTCCAAACATGCTCTGTCATTCCTGATTTGCATGTTTCTTCCAGCTCTGTGTGTTTCTTCTGCTCGGCAATGCGAACTTTCAATGGCCTCTCAGTTTCACCGATGTATGATTCGCCGCACTCGCAGGGTATAGGGAAGAGGAAGAGATTCTGATTCAAGACTTGAATTGGAAAGCAATTCACATTTATCGAAGTTCAGTTCGAGACCAATTTGTTTTGAACTGTTAATCTCTAAATCCTCCAATATAATGTCAATATCATCTCCAATGCAACCGTCATCCAGATTCCAACAGTTGAATTCTGAATTTAGTTTTATAGTTAGCTCTTGAGTGGTCAGGCAGAAAAATGAAGGTCCTCAAGGATCGCCTTATTGGAAACCACTCAAATGCTCACTAAAATTCAAAAAGAATGGAAATTTGTAGCATTGGTATATAAAAAAGTATAAGTCTGGCAAACACTTTTGTGACCGTTGTAACATCAAATTTCTCCCAATTATGTTGACTGCGTTTTTAAAATCCAACTTGAAAAAAATGTTTGATGATGAATTTGGATGTTGATGGAGATATCGTCGTGTTGCATGGGCGACCGCTTCGCATCTTCCAGGAGTGCTGAAATCAAATTGGATGGTACGTAAAATGGTCCCAAGGTCTTTTTTAATCTGAGAACAACCTAGTTTGGCCACTAACCGGCGAAAGAAAAACCGATGGCAGTGGGACGTATTCCACCATCTTTCTTTTCGAGAGCACAGAAATTGGACAGATCTCTGGATTAACTCTCCCAGATGATTACAAAGAGTTGTCATAGAAGTAAGCAGTTCATCTCTAAAATTACCACCACTATAACTAAGACTATCTTGTAAGTGACTTGGGCGAAAGCCATCTAGTCCTCCAGCTGAACGCTTTCACTGTGGCAAGTATAATTTGTTCAGGAACAGAAACGTTAAATTGCTTGTTTGATCAAGTGAAGGTTCAGATGCATTTGATATTGAATCGGCTTGAGGATGTTCAAGAATGAGCTTTGATAAATATCATTGTCATAATCAGCGAGAGTATCGTTAGAACTAAGAATCTTAATAGCAGCTTAAATATCGCCCTCCTCAACCTCATTCAAATTAATTTTTGAGATATTTCTTTCGAATCGTTTGGCAATCGTTGGTGGAATAGCAAATTATTCGTTATTCATCGTTTGAATGTTCCTCTTCATAGATCTTGTTGAAGATATTTTTCTCTTCTCTTTCGAATATTGTATAGGGAGGATCGTGAATGTGAAAGTAAGTAGATATACCCAACTGGAAAAGGAGTTCTGCATTACACATTCATCGATGACTTCAGATAAGACGAATGCTACGCAAATTCTAGCTAATCTGGGGATACTTCTCACAATATTAGTGGAGTTTTTCAAAGCAGCTAATCTTCTGAAAAATTATAATGTACCCTGTCCTGTTTTATTCGAGTCATTGCTGGAAATTTCAATTAACGAATCCTTCGACATCAAAATGTTATTTTCTGAATTTGAAATTGACGTTTTGTAAATTTTTCCATAATGAATTCTGAGGGTGGCTTTAATACTCACATTCCCCATGTGAAAGTACTAGTAAATCATACTACCAATCCTGAATAAAAAAGTTTGATATGTATCCACCTATATTTTGTGAAATTTGAATCGCAGTTGTCTATTTATTATTTACTCCTCCTGATTGAGAAGCTATCATAACCAATAAGTTAACAGATATACAAAAGTTTTCAAGAAATTAATCTATACAAAGGTCTTGGTTACACATTTTTTCAGAATGAAATTACGAATTCAAATAGAAATTTCATTAACTTGAGTTAACAGAATCGAAATTTGAAAAAACACCAAATCGTATTTTCAATTTAAGAATATTGTTCAATTCCGACATTGTACTTGGGATGCTCAGACCTGTGGCATTACATAGGGTTCTCTTCTGCTCTTCATGTACGAGAATGATCTATTTGTCGACAGTGAAGGCAAAGTCACTGTGTTTGTCGATGACACCATAAAATAGCATTCGAAAATGAGAATGCAACATAATGAAAATAGTGACATTTCCAAGGTCTCAACTGGACTTGAAAATCAAAGTGATGCCAACATATCTTTCCTCAAGACCTCGAAAACATATATATCATTGAAATGACCAATGCATGACATTTCTCTACAGAATTGAATTGAGATAGTAGAGAACTGAATTATTAGTTTAACGTTCGGATTTCGGATGACATTCTTTTGTTTGATAACCATATACCTATCAAATTCATACAAAAAACAGGAATTGACAACTAGCATTCATGAGATCCAAATGCGAAAAACTTTTTTCTATATATCTACACTCCTACACTTCTTCATGTACTAGTGACCAAACTTATACTCAGTACCTTATATTTCTGCAAATCATTTAGAAAAGTCCAATCTATCGATATTTATACCGTTTACAAAAATCTCATTTTTTAATATTTTCTCTTCACCCCATTTCTAATGGAGTTGATTAGTCACAGATGGCATATATTACTTTGTTTTCAAAAGGTATTTGATTATTTTCAGAGGGAAAGTCGTTATTTCCATTCAATTTGTTATTAATATCGAGTGGAGAAGGGTTCAAACAAATGAATAATTTTTTATCTCCAGACTTCTGAAACAAACTATTGATTGATTCCAGATCACCAACTCAGTTGGCTAAGTAATGTCAATTTCCTTGTAATACATGAGTCAGTAAGATATTTGCAAAATGATTGAGTTGTTTCTGGGAGCTGCTGCATTAGCCACTATTTTCTATTATTTTTACATTAAACCCATGAACTACTGGGGAGAGAGAGGTGTCAAACAAGAAGGTCATCCATTATGGCTATTTGTAGACAGCAGGAAATCAAAATATGGAAAAGAGAGCGTTTTCGATTCAGTTGTCAGGTCTTATAACCAATTTCAGGACACAAGGTAAGTGACTTCAACCTTAAATATAATTAATATTTCTTCAAGTTCACTATTTGAATGAAACTTCGGGAAAACACTGCTGGATCAATTCTGACGGGTTTGTGTGCATGCTTGAGTAATGTTCAGGAATCACCTTGGTATTTGTGACAAGTTTTCAATAACCTTGCCCACCTGATACCAGGAACATTTCTACTTTCGCAGAAGATAGATAATAAGTTTCCCACTGCATGTTTATCACTATAGATGCAAATATCTCAGTTGAGAATTGAGAAGCTGAATCTTCCAAATCTATTTGTTGAAATATAAGAAACTAATGAAAAACTTGTGTAATTATTTAAAATAGGACTCAGCATTTTCAGTTATAGGTTATCCTCATTTTGAAAGAGTTCTTCGTATCTTCGAAGTTTATTCAATATTCTAACTTCTCTCAACTTCGCCTGGTGATATATTCTTTATATTATCGTATCTACTTCTGCATTGGTTTTTCCTCTCTACTGTCATTATCATAACTTCGGAAATTCAGTCTTCATCACTCTGATTCCCAGGCTAGACGGCTTCTTGGTAGAATCTGAGACAACTGAGATCTGTGCCTCTCCAAGAACATTTTCTGCATAACTTAGTCACTCACTAATAGTGAGACATCATTTTGAAAACTTTGTATACTTACCCGAATGTGTGGCTGCTCTAGTCAATTTTGTACAACATTCTACAAAATCAATAAGAAAAATGCAGCTGTGTGTCAGTCACTCAAAGATTATATTCCATTTTGTTTGGTGAAGGGAGTGTTGCGTCACTGGTCGAGGTGCCACCAATTTCATATATCTTCGTTTGATAGGTATTTCAAATTTTCATCCAATCCTCTTTTATATTTGTGAATCTGATTTGCCGTTCTCGAATAATGAGCAGTTATATATTTGTTTAGAAAATCTGTGAATAATCAGCATATATCTCAATTCCAAAAAAATATATTCAAAACTATTTCCTTTCTTTTCGAGTATATGAAAAAAAACTGTTGTTGTATATTATATACTCCAGATATGACACACCTCCTCAAAAATATCTAGAAGTATCATTTTAGGTGATCCAGTGGGCTGCTGACCAACAAACAGTACTGCCTTGATAGAATACGAATGCTAGTGACTACTAAGAAGTTCCTAGTGAGGCGAGTGAGAAGTATCGCGAAAAACCTCAGATTGCGCGAGAAACCTTCTCGCTTATTCCAAAAGCCTCCGAGTGTTGTGAGTAATCCGCTGACCGCTGATCAGGTGGAATATTCCTGGAAGGACACTCGCAGCCAGTCAACTCTAACACTCAGGCCCTAGTGCACTTCGAAACTAGCTTTAGGCAGAAAGTTTTCGACAGCTTGAGCTCAATGAACTGCGCAACCATAACTTTAGATGACGTTCGAAAAACCCTTGTGGGTTCGATATGGGCCTAGAGCATTCACCACCATCTGGCCAGAGTTTTTAACTCATAACTGGACGTAGAGCAGACGATTGTGGATTGGTTTGTCGAGAGGAGTACCGTTCTCATCCCCAAAAGCGAAAATTTGTCGAGAACCTGCTCCTCGATAGACGTGTAACGCAGTACTGGATACAGTATGAGCGTAACCTCTCTATGGCATGGATTGATTACCACAAGGTATCACATGAGCTCATATTTCATTTGCTTAGGTGCCTTGACGTACACGACAAAATAATGGGATGACCTGAATACGACTCTAGTAAACTCATTCCACCACAACATCAGGTCAGGCTAAAGGCCAAACAGGGTGGGTTACTCTCAGAAAGGGTGTGTTTCAGGGCAATCCCCTCAGTCCCCTTCTGTTCTGTATCTCATTATTGTCATAATCCGTTTTGTTCAGAAATATTCGAGGGTATAACTGTGGCACACCTGGAAATCGAAGGCACAAGGTCACCCACTTGTTTTATATAAATGATCTTGAACTTTATACCTCCCCATCAGACCTTGAGGGTGGTGAAAGACTACACGCATGCTATCGGTACGGAATTCGTGATAGACAAACGTGGCAACGATCCATCTCCAAAAAGAACAATGCATGGACTGAGCCATTCACAAGAGACAGTAGCAGTGGAAAACTCTCTCCGTGGCAAATATCAGCACAAATTAGACAGACCTGGTTATCGAAACTGTCAGGGAAGAACAAAGTTACCGGAACAATTTTCTTGAGGTTTCAATCTTGCTCTACTCATTTAGAGTAGTGAAGTTGACTCGAGGGGAGCTGTATCAACTTGACGTAAAGTTCCAAAAAGTAATACATCTCTATGGGGGCTTGCATCCCAAATCGTCCGTTCCTAAGTTGTACTTTCCCCGATAACAAGGAGTTTGGAGGATCTACACGAGACAATGGTACTCCATGGAGCCTGCAGAGTTGTCAAGGATTCGAATCCCCTTCTCTGCATGGTTCGATATCATGAGAGCATGAATTGGAGCATTTCTCTTTAGGGCAGCTGCCCTAGCAGCTGGATAACACGGTTTAGTTTTTCTATACTGAATGGGATGGTCACCGAGTTGAAACCCGTTCAGCAAAAGGCTAATATAAAAACCACAAAGATCTCTTCATTTCTTCGGCAGCACAAGGATGAGCCAATGCATCGGGCCTTCTTCAACGATATTGAAGACCTTGGCTTTTTAAAGCGCCTGACTGTTGCTTTCCTCAGGTCAGGTGGGTTGGAGTTGGAAATCGAAGGATTATTCATGGCCCACCAGGATGATGTCTACTGCAGTCGCGTGATCAATAAGAGGTTTCTGGCATAAGGTGCAGGGCTTACCGCGAAGCGTCTGAAACCCATTGACTCTCTATATCCATCGACATAACGCGGCCCCACAAGTGCTGTGTTACCACCAACGGAATTTTTACGGTATTGACGAGACACAGGTGTTGCCCTACATTCCGAGGGATATTGAATCACGTATGAGGAACGACAAGTGCCAAATCTATTGAAATTGAAACCATTTGTTTCTCACTTTCAGACTCATACAAGCTAATTAGCCTGATGTAGTGCTTCCCGACTAACAGAGCAAGACGATATTTGTTCTGGCGAGAAGAATATCGTTCGAAAATTGAAAAAAAAAGGATGACAAAAAGAGATTTTCTCTTCGAACTTTTCAGAGTCTCTCCAGACTACTCTGTGAATATGGTTTCTCTCATTATTGTAGTCCTTGGTGAAATTAATGCCGGTTTGCCGCACTAATGAAGAAATCTCATCAGGAAAAATGCAGAACGCTGTCATTCTTGGCTCACTGTGCACAGGGCACATAGTTCTCGGACTCAATGATCAGTCACCCCGCGGTGTGGGTAGTGATCGTTGGTTAATGATGCTGGTGCTTCCTTCAGAATGTATCGAGGCGTCAGGTGATAGGGCCTGACCAGCGCAACCTTAGGTTGAAAATAATTATTATTATACCGATGGAAATGAATATGACTTTTATTGTTCACAATTGAACTGAAATCAAACAAGAAATAATACAGTTGTTACAGAAAATAGTGATAGAGAAAAGGTAACCTGTTAGATCTAATGATCGATTCTTCCACTCGATCCTAGAAAAAGCGAATAAACAGTTTCTATTTCTAGGGCTATTAGAGCTGTTTGGTGAATGGATAATAATTTTGATATAATATAATATAATAATACAGATTTCTTTAGTCACGCATACTCCTTTGTACATTCTATTAAGTGAAGAGAAATAAATATCAGTAATAGCAATCTTCTGCATTCACATTCGGGGGAGTTATTATTGTTGATTTGGAACATTGAAGGTAGTTATTAATGAATTCAGTTGTTTGTTAAAGTTTTGGTGTGCAGTATTTTTGTTCTGGCAATGTGAATGCCACGATAGATGGGTGATTCACTGGAGAAAATATCCAATCTAACAATTTCGATGTGAAAAACTTCAGTTCATTAACTACGCGAAAATGTTCAATGTATAATAAATCAAAGGTGGAATGCACTAGACAGTTGACTGAAATCCCACTTTAGGGCAATCGTGTAACAATAACCAGAAGGAAAAACTAGTCAAGTTTTATCATTGACCAATGCATTGATGATAACTTTGAAAACTGCCTGTATTTGGACGTAATTGGAAGTAAGCTTACATTTTTTAGCGAATAACTTCCTCATTCATTGAAAGTTGTGATGTGTTCATTCTCCTGTATATTAATACTATCGCTTTTTTCCCAGATATCACGGAATATATGATTCCACTCGACCTATTTTAATAATAAAAGATCCAGAACTACTAAAACAAATCACTGTTAAAGATTTTGATCACTTCACCGATCACAGAAGCCATATTGAATTGGATGTTGATCCACTATGGAGCAGAAATTTATTTTTTTCAAAAGGTATGTAGATTCAAATAAATCCTAACTAATAACATAAATACTAATTTTATATTTAACATGCCTGGAGAAGCTATTGATAGTGGAACGCGTGTTGTGGATTTGTGAACTGTTAAGTGAAAATCCAGTTAGTTACTCAACGATTTTCAAAAATCTGTCACCTCAGTGAGTAACATGAGCTACATTCTATTTGAGAGAATATCGGAGATCTCTACGAAAGTTCTAATAATATAATATGCTGCGGTGTGCCTCGACCGCCACAACACCACCTGGATCCATGCAAAGCGAGAAACATCGTGACCGTCATGCAACATTTGGAAAAACCATAATCAAGCGAAAAACAGCCAACTCCCGCCATGGGAGATGCGTAAGGTGAAAGCACTCGAATGACTTATAAATAGTCACCTTTTGGAGAAATAATTCTCTTTCCTCCGCTGACTGATGTATCCAGTCCTGATGTAGATGACTGGATTCGTCAGGAAAAGCCGGGACGGAGCCCAAAGCTACTTCTCGAAATCAGAAATTTCGAATCACACTCCTTGTGTGAATAATAATAATCAAAATATGGGCACAAATCAAAATGTGTCAAATGATAGTGTTTCAGACTTTTCTGGAAGTTAAGTCTGCTCAGGACAAGGATCAAATTCTCAAGGTCCAGCCTGTGACTTCTGATGATTATGATTGGTTCTCAAGACTTTTTTTGAAGGAAAATATCCCTCACCATACATATTCTCTCCCTGAAGATCGGGAAATCTGTGCAGTATTCAAAGGTAGGCCAAAAAAACTTGACAGTGAAGAGTTAGGAGCCAAGGGCTTTGACTTAACTTCTGACACGCGAATGAAGCGTGCACACAAGCCAATGCCAATGATTCTTGTGCTGGTTAGCAAAGACCAGAAGCACATCTTTGGAGTCAAATGCTTCCTGAGTGTGAAGGTTCAGGTTGAACCTTAGCACCCTAAAACTTCGGTGGGTCGGGGCACTGCTATAGGCCACTGCCGGCGTAATTGCTTGACAGTCCTCTCATTTGAGTCAAGTGAGCTGGCAGACACCACACCAATACCTGCAAAAAGGACAGGAGTGACCCCTCGAAATGCAACAATCACAAAGGGGTTCATACTGCAAACTACCGAGGCTATCCTGAGTACCCTAAGGCTCAAAAGAAGTCCAGAGATCCAGGAAGACCTGGCATTGTACTCGTACGGCGGAACATTTCATTATTAGACAATGGATGTCCGAACTAAAGAAATTCTGAAATTTCTGTAGCAACAGTTACTTTACAAATAGTGAGGTTATGGTTATTCTACCGAAATAATGTATTATTTATCGGAATATGTAGTCGAATCAACAAAGTATTTTTCTCGAAAGTCCACAAAAGCAACTCCGATTTTGACTATTTGGTTTTCAAATGTGTATTTTTCTATATTTTTTGAAATCAAAAATTCTTTGATTACTCATATGAAAAATTCAGTTTTGCGTAGACTTTTTTTGAAAATATCCTCCGGATATTGATCGTTTTCAAAATATTAGATTATAGAAATTTACTAATCGATCAAAACACCAGAAGTGAATATAAATAAAGGAGGAACCGAAGAAAAATCTTAGATATATAAATTATACATGTATCTCAATGTATCTCAATTCTAGAAATACAAAATTGAATAAATATGGATTAATTAGTTTTCTCTGCAGAAAACTGAACAAAAATAATATTTTGATTGAAGTCAGACAGAAAATGATGCTGATCATCCACTTGTCCATCGTCTCCAGATAAATAACCTTTCATAAAATTTATTTGAAGAACATAATATTAATGTGTGAGTAACATTGGCGGCTGAAGCACTCGATGAAAATGAATTTTTTCAACCAATCAAAATGAAGACGCCATTTCGACGAAATTCAAAAACATACAATATTTCATTGAAACGTTCAGAACAATTGAGTTTGTCGCCCACTTTCCCGGCACAGCACAACACAGCCCGTCCCGTCAAAATACGTATAGGATTGAAATGATGAAAATGAATGAACAACCGCCCACTAGCCCGGCACGGCACAATCAAGAGCATCCGCCGCCGGAAAGGATTCCAGATCTCCGATCCTGTCCAGCAAATAACGGTACGTGTTGTGACGAACTGGCCAAGTGAGCGCGTCGCTGGCCAGCGCTTGCCAGCACCAACTTGTCCAAACGTGCCTGGAAGGTTTCTGTATCTCTGTTTTGCTATTCCATCACTTGACAACACGGTGTCAGACGATACCTATGAAAATGGGCGAGGAAAAATTGAGTTCCTTATTGAAGCAGGCTCTGGAATATCCATAAGTTCTGAAAATTTGCCTGGAGTCATTCGAAAATACTCAAAAAATGTCTCCTGGTCTTCTTTCAGATCATTGGAAAGATGACTAAATTCTCCCAGATTTGCCCTCTTTTCATTAATGGGATTGACCTACATTCTTCTTTTTTGTAACTTTTTTTTTCTACATTCAATAATGCGGTCACTATAATGACTTCTTTGTCAGAACTGCTAGTGATAGACATGTCTCTGTCACCTCTCGTTGTCATCTGAAATTCTCTTAAAATCGAACAAACAGCAACTTCAGTACAGTGGTTGTAGCTGGACAAGTGGGCTATGCTACTACCTGGCGCCATCAGGCGACGGACAGTGCCGCGCTGTCTGTCACTGACCCATGGGAAGCACCTAGTGATGCAATGAATGTATTGATTGCATTCTCACAATGTACGGTACCAAAACATTTGAATGGACTGCTATACAATTGTTTCATTGCATTAAGCTTGTCTCCTATTTGTCCGGCACGGACAGCAGGAAAGAAGGATGTTGGTCCATTTCATTAATCAAAATATGGCAAATCTGGGAGAGTTCCGTCATCTTTTCAATGACCTGAAAGAAGACAACGAGAAATTTCTCCAGTATCTCCGAATGACTCCAGGCAAATTTTCAAAACTTATGGATATTCTAGAGCCTGCTTTAATAAGCAACTCAATTTTTTCGTGTCTATTTTCATAGGTACCCTCTGACACCATGCTGTTAACTGATAGAATAGCAAAACAGAGAGGCACAAACTTCCCAGGCACGTTTAGACAAGTTGATGCTGGCAAGCGCTGGCCGGCGACGCGCTCATTTCGCCAGTCCGTCAGAGCACGTACTGTTATTCGCCAGTCCGTCAGAGCACGTACCGTTATTTGCCGGACAGGATCGGAGAGCTGGAATCCTTTTCGGCGGCGGATGCTCTTGATTGTGCCGTTCCGGGCTAGTGTCCTGTTGTCCATTCATTTTCTGACATATTCTATCTTGAAGGCGACAATCTCACCTTCACAAATGAAATTAAACACACAATCGAAACTAACAAAGCGATACCCGTGTTTACAAAATCTTACAGATACCCTCAAATCCGCAAAGAAGAAGTCTACGACCTTGTACTGAAAATTGATTTCATTTCCTGCTGATTTCAGCAACACCCACAACATATTCCCAATACTCCATTCAACACATTAATAACACAATAGGAATTTTTCTTCACGAAGAAAGCACTTTGAAAATTCCCAATGATAAATGGACTCTTCTCGTCTACAAAGACTTGGACTCCATAGAATTTGCCCTAAATAACAACATCAAAATTTTGGAAAACATGCTATATACTTTCGACCAATCAAACCCTAGAATGTTATCCTTCAAAACCGAAGTGAAAACGCACATTAGTTTATTGACCCAAATATCTGACTCACTTGACTTGAAATATCGAGAAATATTTGCAGACACCCAAAATTNCCATTCACAAGAGACAGTAGCAGTGGAAAACTCTCTCCGTGGCAAATATCAGCACAAATTAGACAGACCTGGTTATCGAAACTGTCAGGGAAGAACAAAGTTACCGGAACAATTTTCTTGAGGTTTCAATCTTGCTCTACTCATTTAGAGTAGTGAAGTTGACTCGAGGGGAGCTGTATCAACTTGACGTAAAGTTCCAAAAAGTAATACATCTCTATGGGGGCTTGCATCCCAAATCGTCCGTTCCTAAGTTGTACTTTCCCCGATAACAAGGAGTTTGGAGGATCTACACGAGACAATGGTACTCCATGGAGCCTGCAGAGTTGTCAAGGATTCGAATCCCCTTCTCTGCATGGTTCGATATCATGAGAGCATGAATTGGAGCATTTCTCTTTAGGGCAGCTGCCCTAGCAGCTGGATAACACGGTTTAGTTTTTCTATACTGAATGGGATGGTCACCGAGTTGAAACCCGTTCAGCAAAAGGCTAATATAAAAACCACAAAGATCTCTTCATTTCTTCGGCAGCACAAGGATGAGCCAATGCATCGGGCCTTCTTCAACGATATTGAAGACCTTGGCTTTTTAAAGCGCCTGACTGTTGCTTTCCTCAGGTCAGGTGGGTTGGAGTTGGAAATCGAAGGATTATTCATGGCCCACCAGGATGATGTCTACTGCAGTCGCGTGATCAATAAGAGGTTTCTGGCATAAGGTGCAGGGCTTACCGCGAAGCGTCTGAAACCCATTGACTCTCTATATCCATCGACATAACGCGGCCCCACAAGTGCTGTGTTACCACCAACGGAATTTTTACGGTATTGACGAGACACTGGTGTTTCCCTACGTTCCCAGGGATATTGAATCACGTGTGAGGAACGAGAAGTGCCAAATCCATTGAAATTGAAACCATTCGTTTCTCACTTTCAGACTCATACAAGCTAATTAGCCTGATGTAGTGCCTTTCGACTAACAGAGCAAGAATATTTGTTCTGGCGAGAAGAATATCGTTCGATAATTAAAAAAAAAAGGATGAAATAAAGAGATTTTCTCTTCGAACTTTTCAGAGTCTATCCAGACTACTCTGTGAATATGGTTCCTCTCACTATTGTAGTCCTTGGTGAAATTAATGCCGGTTTGCCGCACTGATGCAGAAATCTTATCCGGAAAAATGCAGAACGCTGTCATTCTTGGCTCACTGTGCACAGGGCACATAGTTCTCGGACTCAA